GATAAATAGATAGATAGATAGATAGATAGATAGATAGATAGATAGATAGATAGATAGATAGATAGATCACAATGTAGTTCAAGCACACCCTGAGTTCATTCATAAATCTATCTACAGCAGGTAAGATATTGAACTTTCACTTTAATGCTCACGGCTTGAACCCTGCATAACAGATGTTTTCATTCAGACAATGGTTTACTCCAACAAAAGTATTATTTAAAAACATAAAATAAACACGTCACTGAAGGACTGACTCATTCTGAAACTGTGTCAAATTGTCCTTTTGCTGTTTTGGGATAAACTGATGTGTTAAAACCTGAAAACAATAAACATTTATTATAAATATTCCTTATTTACTTCTCATTATTCAACACAGGAGAGGTTTGTTTAACTCAAACACACAATTCCCATTTTCTCCAACTGTTTTCTTATAGTTTTGTTTAAAAAGATTCTGATGGTTTGGGGGGGGGGGGGTTGGTTTGGAGTTACATGTTTTTTCTCTGTGCATGTACATAAAATGTAAAAAAGAAAAAGAAAATGAGTCATTTTGCAGAACATGGTTTCCATCCATGGCCATCTGGACTGAAAGATTATGTCCACACATTACTCAGCAGGTATCTCTAGCGGAAAAAAAATGTTTCTTTTACATTTATGTGTGAAAATCTGTGGAGTAAATGTAATAAATGTTTGAGATGTTCTGAAGAGCTGCAGTGAAACTTGAATTAAAGCCATGAATTCACATTTAAAACCGTTTTTACAGGTATTTAATCCACCTCACAGTGACATTCACACATTACCTTCTTCTCCGTACTGATCGTAGATTTCTCTTTTCTTCGGATCACTCAGGACTTCGTACGCCTCTGCGATTTCTTTAAATTTCTCCTCGGCGGCTGCGGACTTGTTTTTGTCCGGATGCCATTTCAGCGCCTGTTTTCTGTAAGCTTTCTTTATGTCCTCTTCGGTGGCTCCTTTACAGATCCCCAGCGTCTTGTAGTAGTCTCTGCCCATTTTTCATGTGTTAAAAAGAAATAATAATCAGGGACGGGGGAGGATGAAATTAAAAGGGTGACAGTAAAAAGCTCCGGTGGAGATGCTCCCTCTGACTGGTTCCGAGTGTTTTTTTTTAACGCGACATTACCGAGAGATGAATAAATTTAAACGAATAATCAAAGCCGAGGAACTCTTCTATTAATTATCCGTGACTGGATGACAACCCTCTTTAAATAGCCACAGCCTCCCTCCCTCACAGAATCAAGCTACTCAGGTAATAATTCTACATCCGGTTTCCGCCAACATAACCTGTAAAAAACACAAAAAATTGCGAAAATGTAATTGTTTTTACAAAAATTGAGTTAAACTCTGTATTTTAGTACCTTGAATTTATTCCTATCGCATACCCAGAGCGTTACCAGATTGAAAATGAAAAAAAAAGGCTCAATATTGTTTTAAATAACAAATGTTGAAGTCAAATTAGCCAAGATGGCTGCCACAGCTAATGTTAGCAAATACAAAAATACCCACAACTCAGCCAACTTTACTAAAATTGAGCTACAATTTAAGGTTACGGAAATAAAATTAATAAATCAAATCAATGTCCATTGTAATATCAATTCGCTAAATGATCCAGTGGGATTTTTTTTTTAAACTTCAACATGTACAGTGGCGTTAGCCAAGATGGCCGCCACGGCTAACTTAGCTCAAAGCTAACTGGAAGGAAACAAACAAAAAATAAATAAAATGCTGATAACTCAATCAAATGAACAGATATTAAGCTAAAACTAAAGGTTGTACAAACTGAAATTGTTTAATGGTTTAGGTTTGTGTTTACTTAAAGTATTTTAAGATTTGATTAATCTTCCTGCTGGAGAAAAGAGAAACATTCACCAATGTTATTTATTTGTCATAAATTTTAAATATTTTTTTTTACATTTGCTTTACATATACATAATACGGAATACACATTGTAATTTAAAGAATATAAATGATACTTTAGCATTGTCACTAACTTCATTTGTAAAGAACTTGCTATTTTAGTCGGTTTTATTTTGAAATCCAGTTTTCGGTCTGGTATCACGCAACTTGACACATTTCAAACTGGAACCCAGCGGCTCTTTCTAGAACCTAATGCTGAAGCTCGTCATTCACTATAAATGGGTTCTGCTCACATGGTGCCCAGAACCTTTATTAACCTTTATTCCAGGAGAATAAGAATAAAAACAAATTCTTCAAGAGTTTGAAGCATTTATTACAACCAGAAGAGTAAATACAAAGTAAAAACATGCATTTTAACTGGAATTTCTTTTTGGATGCAAATAATCCTTACTGATGGTGCTTTTAACCCAGCCATAATAAGTATTTGGATGACTACAGATTTAAAAAAATGTGTTTATCAAGTGTCATACTTTAATAATCAGCACACCTATTGATTAATACTCTCCTTGGTTTTGGCCTCCATTTGGGTCTTACTAGAACCATCAGTGACAACATTATTGACTCTCAGACAACAGTTTATGACTGAATTATTATCCTGGTCAGTTAATATTATGTGTCATTTTTGAAATACAACTCATTTAGTCTCATCATCTGCCGAAGCACTTCGCGACTGTCGGTATCGATGCTGCTGCATGGGGCTCATTTGAGTCACAGGATCCCCCCTCTTGGCCTGGGGCCTTTCTCTTTATGTGACATATATAAGCATTAGTCTCAGTGTGGTATGGGATAGTGGACAGGAGGCTGAACACAGGAGATCACCACGTCTCAAGCTTGATGATAATACATTTAGGACACCCAAGGTGATTGTTGATGGCAAAGAGGAGGCGATGGATGATAGTACGAGTACCTGAGAGAGAAAGGGGAGGTTTGAAAATGTTAAAAGTTTTTTTTTTGGAGGGATTTTAATGTTCAGGATTAGAAAAAGTTTGTTAGTGAGACATACGCTGCGTTGGACAGAGGAGGGTTAGTGGACAGATTGGACACAGGATGGAGCAGGACAAGAGAAAGATCACGGATCCAATAAAGCCCAGTTATATAAATTTAGGGGTTGTATTTTTTTCCATAATGTGACCACATCATTGCCAAATTACCTGATTTTATACATCTTGGGTTAAAAACTGTCTTTGAGGAACAGAATGTCCAGGACTTGCAGTGAGGTTCTCCTGCAGCCACAGCGCCCCCTGCTGGCAGTTCTTTTTAAATCCTCTGCTCTGCATTGGATCTGCAGATGAGTCAGCGACTGTGGCTGACAGACATGCATTTATCCTCTCATTTATCAAGCTTTGTTTCATCATTTTCACATCCCAAAAGCCCTAAACATTGCTTTTTCGAAACATGGATCAGTTCCATGGATTATTTGTCAAACTGGACCAGAACAAGGACGGCTTCGTATCAGTGGCAGAACTCCACGAAGAGATGAAGAAACATGGGATCATTTCAGCAGATGGGAAGGCCCAGGTAAGATTTCAGCTCGTGTTTAATCTCCCCGTATTGTTAAATTAAAATTGTTTAATAAAAGAGTTATTTTCCTTTAGAAGATTATCAGTTCTTATGACAAAGATAACGATGGCCTGCTGGATTATAAAGAGTTTCTCAGCTACATGAGGGACCGAGAGAAGAAGTGGAAAATTCACTTTCATGACCTTGATAAGAACAACTGTGGTGAGTGATAAAAATATTTTTATTAATTGAAAATGTCCCATTTTCCCAGGAAATGTTGCACAGCTTTATTAACATTTGCATCTCTTGTTATGTCTTGTTGGGTTGTTATCAATTCTTCCCAAAATTCAAATAAAGTTAATTCTTTATGAAGTCATGCGGGGAAGGATTTAGACAGAAACATAAAGGTTGTTTATGGTACACATAAACATCACACTCTGGTGACCTTTGCACTCGTGCAGAAAGTGTAAGCAGCTGACAGGAAGTCAGAGGTCGATCAGAACGCACCTGTGTTTTATTAATTCTGTGTATTTCTTCTTTAATCAGGGGTGATTGGCCAGGACGACATCATAAGCTTGTTTAAGGAGTTAGGAGTGGTCATTTCAAAGCCGAATGCAAATAAAATTATACAAATGTAAGAGTTTTTTGCCCTTTACCTCTTGGATTTATTGTTCTACTTCAAATAATACACAACTAATACAATGTTGCAGGTGAAAACATATAAAAAGTACTGCCTTAATTAACATATTTATCACGCCTGTCATGCATCATGTATTAGTGTTGGTAATTATAAATAAATAAATAAATAAATAAATAAATAAATAAATAAATGAATAATAGAAACTGGTTTATAATTTTACATTTTTTATTCAACCAAAACAAACCCAAAACAAAATGTTATATTTAATAAACCAAATAATTTGTATTTTCTGCAGAAGTGCAGCATAAAACTTAGAGCTGAAATCTGCTGAAGAAGCTAAAATAAGCTAAAGACTAGCTAAAAGTCAAAATGAACAAAATGGTAGATAAACACTAAAAGTAGCTAAAAGTTAACTATGGACCAAAACAACAAAAATGTTAGATAAAAACAAAATGACTAAAAGATAGCTAAAAGCCAAAAGTAGCTAAATGCTAGCTAAAAAATATTCACATAAAATCTAGCTAAAAGGGACAAAATGTTACCTCAAATATAAACATAGCAAAGCGTTAGCTAAAGAACATGCTACTAAAATACTCAACGTGTTTGATAAAAGCTAAAAGTTGCAAGAAGGCTGAATGTGTCAAAAACGCTGGGTGAAAACAACAAAATATTAGCTAAATGCTAAAAGTACCAACATGCTGCTAAAAAGAAACTAAAGCTAAAAGGAACAAAATGCTGAAGGCTAAATCAATTAAACTATAGCTAAAAGCAGCAAAATATTAGCTAAAAGGTCAAATTAAAATGCTAGAAGAAGCCAAAGTTTAGGTAAAAGTTGCAGAACRGCTAAAATCTTGAAGTATCAGAACAGTAGCTAGTTTGCTGCTGCTGATTTTAAAGAAAATAATGTTTTTGAAGTAAGTGAGGATCTTAGATTTTATGTAAGGTGAATATTTGTAAATAAAAGCTGAATACTTTGATTAAACTTAAAGTCACAGCATTAATCTCCTGAATGTTTTGATGCATAAACTGTTGAAATATAACAAAGTATAAATAAGTTGTTAGTCATTGTAAAAAAAACAGGAAAGCAGTCAGAACGCTGTATCACATTTAACCATTTAAAAATCTGCAACATTCTATTATAAAGTGATAAATCTGCAGATACAACAGAGTAAATAACTGATCTGTGTCCCAAACAGAAGCTTCTTAGAGTTTTCATGTGTTTCTTAAGTTTTTACTGATTTATTCAGGCGTCGCGTTCAGATGCTGATGTTTTGATGCACAATGTTGTTTTGTTTGTTTTCTCCAGGATGGATAAGGACAGCTCCATGACGGTGGACTGGGATGAGTTTCTGCACCACATCATCCTAAACCCCGTAGACGACATCGGAGAGCTTGTTTCCTCCTGGAAACACAAACTGGTAGTTTATTTACAACACAACAAATAAATAAAACTAACACATCTAAGCTGATGAAGGGACTCTCTGCGCCTGCAGGTGTTTGATGTGGGGGAGAGTCGAGCGACGCCCGTCGAGTTCCCTGACGACGGGTCTGGCTTTGGTGCTTGGAGGACCTTTGTCCTGGCAGCGGGTCTTGCTGACGCTGTGTCCAGAACCGCGACAGCTCCCATAGACCGGCTGAAAACTCAGCTCCAGGTCCGGCTGCATTCTACCCTCTGGACTAACTGTTTACCTCACAGATCTGTAAATATAAACGTGAGAATTTGCAGTAAGACACCACGGAAACACAAAGACGTGTCGGACACTTCCAGCTTGTAAGAGAGGATAGTTTTTAGTTAGTTTGGGTTAAATGGCATAAAAATAGAAGTTTTACACGTGAACTTTTTAGTGCACTTAAAGTGACCTGATCAGTCTGCTAAAGGTCTCTAATGTTAGTGAAATGCTAATCCGCTAAATGAGAAGCTAGTTGCGGTTCAGTGGAACTGCAGTTTGATAACCCTGATGTTTCCTGTCTGCTCCGCAGGTTCAAGGATCCGGGGCTATTTCCCGAGGCTTCCAGGAGCTGAAGGCCGGCGGTTTGCGCTCCATGTGGCAGGGCAACGCCGTCAACGTCCTGAAAGGAACGCCACAGTCCACGCTGCAGTGTCTCATCTACGCTCAGGTGAAACACTGCTTCTCCTCAGAGTGATTCACCAAATGACTCCGTGTTTGACAAACTCTCTTCATCCAGATGAAGGTTTACACCCAAAACCGAAGTCAGGACACCCTGACGGTGCAGCAGCGTTTCGGTCTGGGCTGCATCTCCGGAGCTGTCGCCCACGCCGTCTTTTACCCCTTAGAGGTATCAGAAACCAGAGGCAGGTCTGAGCAGCTTCAGGATTTCCGTCCTAATCTGCGTTCTGGTTTGTTTTCAGCKGCTCTTTGCCTCCTCTCCTCTGCACCGCAGGTGTTGAAGGTGAGGCTGAACCTGCAGCAGGCCGGCACGTACCGCGGCGTGGTGGCGTGCGCCCACTCCGTTTACAAACACGAGGCTCTGTCGTCCTTTTACCGAGGCTTCAAACCCAGCATCCTCTGCATGATTCCGTACGCAGGCGTGGAGTGTGCCGTTCATCAGGTGAGCCACACCAGACTCCACAAAGTTTAAAAATCAATATTTCGTTTGTAAAAAAAACCTTTTTCTTCCTCTTCATTTCAGTCCATTATGAACTGGGCCAGGAACCATCCCACCTACAGCACTGACTCCAAACTGTTTTTCTTCAGTTTTGTGGCATTTGCCTGCGGACAGATCAGTAGYTACCCTCTGGCGGTTATCCGAACTCAGCAGCAAGCGCAGGGTAACGTCTGTTTTCTTGATGACACATCATTTTTGAGAAGATATTCTGTTAAAGAGTCATCACGCTTTTAAATTTTTCCTTTTCACATTAACGTCCTTCAGTTTGGGTCTATATAAAGTAGAACTGCAATGCTTTGGTCTGCATTCCTGATTATTGTAGCCCAACAAGCCCCTTTTCTGAGGTGCATCTGGGAGCTACTCGTTTTGGTGCTGTCTCTTTAAATACAAATGAGGCTCTTCTTTAAAATGATAGTAAAAAAATCGACCAGACAAACCCTTCTATCCCTTTAAGTTAATTCAGAGTTAATCTCATCATCTTTTRTCCTGTTTTCCAGCTTTCAGCTCTGAGTCCCGTCCAGCCTCAGGTGTGTTACCAGGACTTTCTGAGATTTACGAGCGGAACGGATTCAGAGGATATTATAACGGCATGGGAGCCAGCTTCGTCCGAGCRATTCCATGCGCGCTGATAAACTACACTCTCACAAAACAATTTGAAAATTTGTTTTCTTCAATCGCGTCTTAAAAATGTCAAGRATTCTGAAAATACACTGAAGCAAGTCTGGCTTTTATTTTTATTTTGACCTTTACGTCTGTGAAAACCAACACAACGATCTGAAAATGCACAGTTGACTTAGATGTGACAAAATCCCTGAGATGCTCTTTGTATATATGTATCTATGTATGTTCTGTTGTTGTGTGTTAAACTTTATTTATTAAAAACAATTTCTGTTGTGTGTGTTTTTTCTTTTAGTTATGAATAATTGCACAAGGCGTTTTCAGTATTTTTTTAAAGTGGTGTCGTTATTCATTCAAGCTCTCTTAAAAACAATTTTTAGGAACTTTGGCCCTATTTTTCCCCTTTATTTATTTATTTATTTATTTATTTATTTATTTATTTATTTAGCACTACAAGGACCCTATCGATATTCAGCATAAGAGTATATTTTTGGAGAAAAAAATAATTTAAATCTCATAAAGTAATATAAAAAGAGATTTAGTAGTAAGTTATTTTGCCAAGGCAGTGTTCTCGCGATATAGCACGTTTCATCGCGARATTTCATGTCGCCATCGTCGGTAAATGAAAGCCTCCATCTTAGAGCGCGACGGAGAAACCAGCAGAGATGGCAGACTACAGCAGCGTGGCTCCCCCGTCCTCTAACGCTGGTGGTGGGATGAACGATGCTTTCAAAGACGCTCTGCAGCGAGCGAGACAGGTAAAAAAAAAAAGGGAAAACACAGCCTGTTCTGTGAACTCATATAGACTCCGAGTTGCAAAGAAGAGGACGAGTTTAGTTTAATTTGCCGCTGAGGAAAGATCACAACTGGCTAAAGCTAAAGCTAGCTCAAGATGATGACTAACGCAACGCCACACTGCTTAATAAAACCAGATGGGATTATTTGGGCGACACTAGCTTGAGTCATAAAATCAAATACGTGTACCTTAATTATCAGCACAAACTAATTCCTTTAAAATAAATAAAACGGACTCCTTAAAGTTAATCTTAAAGCGATCCTTTGTTGGTCCGACTTCCGGACATGATGTAGGCCGCAGGCGGCGTGCCTTGTCAAACTCTCCAAACCTGAAACGCCGATAATGATTTTAAATCCGGTGTTTTCTTTTTTGTCTTTTCATGCGAAGATCGCAGCCAAAATCGGCGGAGATGGCGTGGCGGCACCTCCGACCAACGAGTTCGGCTACGGAGGCCAGAAAAGGCCCCTGGAGGACGCTGGTGGGTATTTTCCCATGCCTAACCTGAATATCGGTCAGTGGCTCCAAATCCATCCCCGTGCTAGTTGTCATACTTAATACTTGTCTGTGTGTTTACTTTTGCACCGATTGCTTTGGCTCACCTGTGTTATAAGAATTCTAACCCAATATTACGGCTTAACACAAAGTTACTAACGTGAACTTTGATTTCTAATAATTATGTTTATGTAATATACTGGCAGTGGCATGTTTGTATAATGTTCTTGTGTTTTTGCAGCTGCTTAGAATCATTGTCTGACTGTAAATGTCTTTTTAAGTTGTCATTTAGAGACCAAATATGTGATTCAAGATTGTGGGAAAGGGTTAAAAGCTTTTTAGGGAGCATCACTTTAAAAGAAAAGGGTGTGAGTGTTAGAGTACAACACTAGCCATGAACATATTGTTTTATTTCTCTTTGCTAGATGCAACAAAAACAAAGGGAAGTAAATTTGTATTATTATGGGTAAAGACCAATGTAGTTTATAGTACTCAAAGAGAGAAAAAAGATTATTTTGCCAACGTTTCTGACCTTTGGAGTTATGAAAACATGACGGGATGAAGGCTGCTCCCATGAAAATCATGGGCTATGATAAAATAAAAAGATTGCTCATTTTTTCTTAAACTGAAAGTGAAACTAAGAGTAGCCATAATCATCTTTTAATGAGCTTGAAAAGGAGTAGAACTGGATTGTCAAGTTCTCTTTTATGGGAGAGTGAAGATAAAATAGGAGTATAATTTATTTGCTTATGCATTTTTTAATGTAAACATTTTTAAGTAAATCCCACACATTTTTAATATTTGTACAATTTATTTTCTCAGGTTAAAGAATATTAGTTATGTCTTAAATCTGTAATTAATTTGTTTTATTTTGTCCTCTTGTCACAGATCAACCAGAGACGAAGAAAGTGGCTACAAACGATGGTAATGATGCTTTTCATAAGCAGCTAATCTGAGTATTTAATAAGTTTTATGTTTTGTTCAACATAATGTTTTTCTGTTTTCAGCCTTTGCAGCAATGGGAGCTATGGGTGGCCCCCAAAGGTAAACTGAAACATTTGTTTACAATCGCACGTTGTATTGTTGTGTGTTGGCTTCACGTTGACRATGCTCTCATCATTTCCAGATCAACGTCAGAAGAATTCAAGGTTCCTGATGGGATGGTTGGATTCAGTGAGTTTTTACATTGTAGTTAAACAGTAATTCTTGTTTTGGTTATTTCATGCTTAATGTTTTAAACCTTTTTTTTTATTTTTAGTTATCGGAAGAGGAGGCGAGCAAATCTCACGGATCCAGCAGGAGTCTGGGTGTAAAATACAAATTGCCCCTGGTAAGTTTGGGTTTAGTGGTTTTTCATTTAGAGGCTTTAAAGCTGTGTTTCCATGTGGATCATCTTCATGATGATTTAAAAATATCTATCAGTGGGAGTGGCCTCCTAATGTTTACAGATCCTCCTTTGTATCTTTGTATTATTCAGATAGTGGTGGGATGCCAGATCGGTCTGTCACACTAACAGGGGGTCCAGATTCAATCCAGTAAGTGTTAACACCTTTTCCAATGTGCTGAAATTAACKTGTATGTTATTTTTGTAACACATGTTTAGAAACCCTTAAAACTCAAATTACTGTACGAGTTAAAAATGTTTTATTCCTCCAYCACCTCCAGGACTGCAAAGAGGTTACTGACAGAAATAGTTGAGAAGGGACGTCCGGCCCCAGTSTTCCACCACAACGACGGCCCAGGAATGACGGTTCAGGAACTCATGGTGCCGGCTTCTAAAGCTGGTCTCGTCATCGGAAAGGGGGGAGAAACCATCAAAAGCCTTCAGGTGAGTGAGTGGTCCGAGGATGAGGCTGGTAATACCGGGTTTGTGCAGGGTCTTAAAAAGTCTAAAATTTGAAAATCTAAATTTTAGGCCTAAAAAAAGTCTTAAGGGCTCGACACACGGGGAGCGACAAACTACAGCGATTAACGGCTGTCATCGCAGCCAGGGTGAAACCCGACACACGGGACACGATAGTGATCACAGCGTTGCGAATCGCGCTCTCAGGTCGCTTGTCTTCACAAAATTTGATTGGTTCTTGACTCTGAAGGYGGGTGTGCATTGCGGACGTGTAAACTAAACAAATCCTGCGATGCTAATGATATTGAAAAACAAACACACATGAGGAAAAACTTACCATAAACTTCACCCTGGTGCCAATTAATTCCCACAAAGCTTTTTAGTAATCACTTGGTGAAAGTGTTAGCTAACTGCAGTGTGTAGCATACTCTCCTCTCATTGGTCAGTCAATGAAACCCTCGCTGATTGGTTGTACGCTAAGCGACAGCGACAAAGTTGAACATTTTTCAACTTTCATATGTCGCGTCGCAAGCTCGCGTGTGCACGTCTACTTGTACCAGCGTGACATTTCACATGCACTATTTTCGCCGGTCGCTTAGCTGGAGGAGGGCAAGCGATTGTCGCCTCACCGCACAGGCTCCATAGGAAATGAATGGAGAGCGAGCGACGTCGCCTCCCGTGTGTCGAACCTTTTAAAAATACTCAGATTTTCATCCAAGGTCTTAAATTTAATTTTGTCATGTCTTAATTTTTTTTACTTTCAATCATTCCCGAGAAGTGTTGGCAGCATAAATGAACAGATTAAAGCACCGTAAGCAAGAGGTTGATGCGATCTGGCTTCATGAAGTGCTTAGTTCGCTACCGGTCTTTGTACACCTTAGCCGTGATAGCAATAAAAGGTTTCTATGTTAAAATTTCTGGGACCATTTTTACGTTTCTGTTAATGTGTCGATTTGGTCTTGAATGTCATTCCTAACGCTCTTTAAAAGGTCTTAAATTTAACTTACTGAAACCTGCATGAACGCTGGTAATAAGAGTGACTTTAATACAGAACACGCCAAACTGATTGTTGTGTTTCATCCCAGGAGCGAGCCGGGGTCAAGATGGTCATGATCCAAGACGGACCTCAGAACACAGGCGCAGACAAGCCGCTCCGCATTTCAGGAGATCCCTTTAAAGTCCAGGTCAGTCTTCATGCAGCTTATTTACCTTTTTTTTTTATATAACTCTTCCAAGTCCTGTAAAGGAAGCTGTTGTCTAGATGTAATTAGTCTTTTCTTCTGCAGCAAGCCAAAGAGATGGTGCTGGAGCTGATCAGAGACCAGAGCTTCAGGGAGCAGAGGGGCGAGTACGGTTCACGGGTCGGAGGAGGAGGAGGAGGAGGAGGAGACAGTTTAGACGTGAGTGGTTGATTAATTACATCGTTTGATTAGTTTGGCCACAGCCGTTCGATTCTTATTTTATTGATTTATTTTTGTCATCTCAGGTTCCAGTTCCACGGTTCGCTGTCGGAATTGTTATTGGCAGAAACGGAGAAATGATCAAGAAAATCCAGAACGACACGGGCGTCCGAATTCAGTTTAAACCAGGTGAGCAGAGGCTGAAAGCTAGCTGAGGTGTTTGGTCTGTGATGAAAACTCATGCACCACGCTGACAAGCTGATGGATAACCATTACCACAACAAATCTGAGACCTGAACACAGTTCAATTCTATATTATTTTAAAAGAATGATGGTAAATGACGCTGGGGTTTAGAGAGGAAAACTAAGTGTTGTTTTGGCTCCAGACGATGGCACCACGCCCGAAAGGATAGCACAGATCATGGGTCCACCAGACCAGACTCAGCACGCGGCAGAGATCATCTCCGACCTGCTGAGGAGCGTTCAGACTGGAGGACCCCCGGGACACGGGGGCGGCAGAGGGCGCGGTCGTGGGCAGGGCAACTGGAACATGGGTCCTCCAGGCGGCCTGCAGGAGTTCACCTTCACAGTCCCGACCATGAAGACGGGTCTGATCATCGGAAAAGGCAAGTGGTAACATTTCAGACAAACCAAACCAGTGCCTAACTTTAACCACTTCAGCCCCATGCCCCCAGTACCGGGGGCAAAGCAGCATTTCCCGTTTTCTATATACTTTAACTTCTGTTAACTTAAGATCTATAAGTTGAACCTGGACATGTTTGGTATCAATAGAAAGCTAAGAATCTTGGCTAAAAACTCATGGAAACTATATGTACGACCACAAAACACAGTTCAAATGACAGGCAGTTGAATCAGAAAGTAAACAAACTGTACAAAATGAGATTGTTGCAAATCTGTAAATACATTACATTTGTGTAAATACATTACAACAAATGTGTAAGGGAAAAAGTTTTGACATTTGTTTTTAAAGTAAGTCAAAGTTGATACCAAAAAATTTTGTAAAGTGTGTTGGAAGTTTTTTTTACTTGATTTAGAGTGAATATTATCCAACTGAAGTCGAATATAATTTCTCATTATTTTGTATAAAACATATGGTGACAAAATAAATGTTTGGATAATTTTTCAAAGGAACAAACATTCAAAAACAAGTCTTTTCAGACGGGTAACAAAAAAGAAATAACTTGCAATTAAAAACATTTATTAATGGGATCGATATGGTGCAGAATGACAAAATACTAAATAATTTCGTTACTAAAACCTCTAACTTTTCTCCAGTTCATTTTAGAAGCATGCATCTTTGCACATGTAATGTCCACAAGTGGATTTATGGTTTCCAAGAGTTTTTAGCCTGATTCATTATGGTTTTAAATGGGCTATATGCTGTCTAATGAAAAAATTATTCAGACGGGAGTGAAAAAAAAAAGTTCCATCTTCAATATCTCTAAATTAACAGCAGCTGTTTTAATACTTAATAAAATCTCTTAAAAGTTAGCTTAATTTTGATACCAAGATAATTTAAGTAGAGTCTTTAAATGCTGAGATCCACTCAGTTACATTTCTGCTTTTTGTTTCGAGCAAAAGCATCAAGAAAACCCCTTGGGCATTAAGAGGTTAAACCTAAAATTGGCATAAAACTGTTGATACCTAGGTGGTGAGACAATCAAAGGCATCAGCCAGCAGTCCGGAGCCAGGATCGAGCTGCAGAGGAACCCTCCACCCAACTCGGACCCCAACTTAAAGATGTTCACGGTCAGAGGCACCCCTCAGCAGATCGACTACGCCAGGCAGCTGGTGGAGGAGAAAATCGGGGTGAGATATTTAAAGTGTTATACCAAGTTATAATAGGTTGGTTTAACGTGACGTCACGATGCAGATGGAGGGCAGGAAGTGAAGTACTGGAGGGTCTACCGTCAGAAAATTACCCTTGTTTTCTTTAGTTTGTGCCTCTAATCGTTCTAACCAAGAATAGGAGGACGGGTGTTACTGACCAAAGATCATCAGACACAGCTGTTTAATGACTTTTTTTTTTTTGTCAGGGTCCAGTTACTCCAATTGGTGGCCCACATGGTCCTCCTGGGCCACATGGAGGACCAGGCCCACATGGTCCTCCGGGACCACCAGGTCCTCCTGGGGCCCCAATGGGACCGTACAACCCTGGACCATATAACCAGGGGCCTCCAGGACCACAGTAAGCTCAGTCAAATCTAAAATAATTACGAATGAATTAGGAAATGAACTGAACAGAGATGGGGTTTTTTTCTCGCTTCAGTGGTCCTCCTGCTCCATATCAGCCTCAGGGATGGGGCAACGGGTATCCACACTGGCAACAGGGACAACCTGATCCAAGTAAGTACCTGCCTGAATCAGCAAGAACGGCTCTCTGCAGTACATAGGGGGAGTTTCTTGTTGTGTGGGCGGAGTTTGAACTAACCATGATTGGTGGAGAGGTTGGGTGGGAAGGGTTTGGCAAAACCGATGTTGATCGGTTTGTCACGTCTTGTGCGGTTAGTTTAAAGATGAAGTAAAGGTGTGCTGTCCTCGCAACACATGACTGAGTGCAGGTAGATAGACCGTGAACAAGAAGTCCCTGCACAAGGCTTGCTTTTTGCATTTACTAAAGGCTTCTTGTATCGTCTTTAAATGTTTTTTTACTGAAATACACAGAAGACAAAAAACAAACATCAATTTGATGTGATTAGCTTAGTTTAACCTTGCCTAAACATGTGTGCTCTACAATAGCACCACAGTTCACTTAACTAAATTATTTCTAGCATGTTCAAATGGCTTTCTGATCACAATACTTAGCAAGACAAAAATCTTCTAAGGTGCAAACATTTAGTTATGAACAGTTTTTTACCTTTACTTTTCAACATGCTTGGCTTACTAGAAAATTTGTCAAAGATGGTATATTACAGTGAGAGCACTCACTCCTTACGTGCTGCATGTAGTACAATATGACGAACACTGTGATGTATCACTCTGACCCAACTTTTAAGCCCAAAAACAGTTTCTAACATGCATTAACTTTAAACAAAAGGCAGCACAAATGGTAATACTGGATTTACTGTGCACATATAATTTATTGACTGCTTACAGTTTAAAACAGGACAGTCTCAAAAAATATAATAGTAATCATAAATTATTATGATTAATAATAATCCATTAGTCTTATATAGTGCTTTTCGAGACCCTCAAAGATGCTTAACAATTTTCATATTGTGAACATGTATAGATTTATCGGCTTTAAATTTTAGTGTGGTTAGCTCCTCGCTGTCTAGTTATGGCTAAAATTAATATTCAAATTTAAAAAAGTCAATCTTTTTCATGGTGGGCAGAGCTGTTTTGACAGAGCCAGTTTGTTACGCTTCCCTCCACGTTTTCAAATTCTGTTCGGCTAGCTCCCTTCCTGTCTTATGACTAAAATTAATATATATATTGAAAAAATATAGACATTTTCTGGCTGTTTTTGACTTGCCTGCATGTCTTCAAATCCCAGCCGAAATTGTCAAACAGACCAATTGTGTCTCGACTCGGACAAACTCCTCCCACTTAGTGACTGAAGAGGCCCCTTCTCTGAATCAGAAGCATCGGTTTTGTATTCTTGTGTATTCTAACATCAAAACTCGTCTCGTCCAGATAAAGCAGCGGCCGACGCCAACGCTGCAGCGTGGGCGGCCTACTACGCTCAGTACGGCCAGCAGCCGCAGCCCCCGATGACGCCGACCGGCGGCGCCCCTGGCACGGCTCAGCCCAACGGCCAAGGTGTGTGCTGTTTGTGGAAGAGAAGGCGTAGTTGACTAGATTCAGCCTTGTTGAGACGGAGGGCAGTCTGGATTGTCCTCACCTTGAAAATGATCTTGCTTTGCAGGTGGAGGACAAGCCGCTGAGAATGATTCACTAATTGCAAGTGCTGTTTCTTTTTAACAGGTGACCCACAGGCTGCAGGTCCGAGTGGACAGACAGATTACACCAAGGCCTGGGAGGAATATTACAAGAAAATGGGTATATAAATGTAGTTTCAGTGTACACTCGTTTAACACAAGTCAGTCTAAACAGCCACAGGGGGAGGAGTCTGCTTCTTTTTCAGGTCTGGGTTATTTGTTGGCTTGCTGTTTGCTCAGTGTGCCTCTACTTGTTCTGACATTTTGATGCCTGTGCTGTTTAGACTCGGACTTTTTACTTATCTCCAGGACTGAGCTGCCGACACAGAATCACCCTCATGATGTTAGAGTTTCTCATTGTTGGCGATTTATCTGAACTGATGGCAGTTTTGAAATGTGTCACTCTTGTTTTTTTGCTGTTACTGACTGTGTACAAAAGTTGTGTAATTAGCTGGTTTTGATTTGGACCTTTATTGTGAGATGTGGTATTTTGTGTTTTCAACATTATTTGACATTTGGGCACATAAAAACATTTTGTTTTCTTTGCTTTTTACAGGTCAACAGAATCAGCCACCTCAGGACTACACTAAAGCCTGGGAGGAGTATTACAAGAAACAAGGTTGGTGTTGAAAATTATCTTCAATGTGTGCATTTAGGTAATTTGAATCTCCAAAATTTTTAATAACTGGCCACAATTCTAATAAAATAAGTTTACCGCTGTTGTAAAAACAAACATGTATGGGGTGGTTGGTTCTTCTTGCAGCCCTCTATAGTAGAGTCGCTGTTTTCACAACCGCCCAATAGAAAATCAGGAGGTTTCTGACTCACAACCCAAAGACATGGGTGGTGGGTTCGTTCCCCTTCTTACAGCGTTTTCTGTCTGTTGAGTGTGTTGGAGTATACACTGGATTAAATCTTGACTGATAGATGTTTTTCTGTAATAATATTTACTGTATTTATTTATGTACGATCTCATGTATAATACGACCCCTCTAAACTACCTCCAATTTCATACAGACTTCAAGATTTTTCAGCCGTTGCGGTCTTTATACATATCAGTTAAATGATCATTGGTCTGTTCATTTTATTTTAACAACATGTGTACTAAAAGGTATTTTGACAACAAATATATATCAGCTGTAGCAGCATCATATGAATTCTGGCATTTTACACTTAGTCCACCAGGAGGCGCCAACACAAAAGTCAGAGACTTCACATGAGATTTGGGCCATCTTTTGGGGGAAAAGCAGATTACTTCCTACTCGTGAGCGCCCCCTCTGGTGGGGAAACTTTTTTTTTAGGGATACAAACTTTTTCAGAACACCGGTAGACGGCAGGCATTACAGATGAACATGTGTTTGTTGTTGTTCCAGGAGCGGCCTGGTTACACGCTAATGTCATTAGTTTGTTTTCATTACTAAGGTGCAGGAATACTTTCCACCCCTTTTTTTACATCATGTCACCTGCTTGGATCTGTTATCTCGTTCTGAAGCACGGAGGAGTGTCAGAGTTATGCTCGTTTCAACTGCTTTTTACAAGGCGGTCTCATTTCCGGACTCAATAATTTTGTGAGTGAAGCCGATATTTCATTTAAAATATACTTAAGTAAAAATATTTATCAGAGTATAATACTACCCCCCAACTTTATGGATGATTTTATGGATTTAATTTTACGTATTATACTTGAATAAATACGGTAATAGTTTCTCATATAGAACTGGAATATTGGGTTGTGAGGGATATGTGGCGTACAGCTAAGCATGCAAACAGATGTGTTGTTTTTTGTATTGTTAGGACCCTGTATATGTGTACAGTTGAAGCGCAGTCAGTTGGATGTTTTCGTACACACTTATCCACCGTGCTGAGCTGTGAAACCCCTCCTACTGAGGGGAAAAACCGATAAAACTTCAATATTAGCTGTTACTTTGGCTCCACGGTTTTGTTTTATCTCCATGAGTTTTTGACCATTTGACTGTTTTTATGTCTGCTTCTGGGTACAACACTTTCTGGAAGTAGAGTAGTTGAAGCAAAATGCAGCGTCCAAGTGCAGAGGGGGGGTGGAAGACTCAGAAGTTGAACGAAATGATGCAATGTTTGTCAGGAAACTGCAACAATAAGTGCTGACTTCGGCAGTTTGGATGGAGATTTTAGAGGTCTGTAGTCAGTGATCTATCAGACAGTTGGAGAGGCTTGTGTTGTTGGATGAGAAAGAAAAACTCTTTATTTTTGGTAATTGTAGAGATTAAAAGATGTGGTCAGGTGTGCTCAATAAGACCAGACAATCTGCTACTTGAAGCATAAATGTGTCCAAAATAATGTTTCCCCACCAGAGGGTGCACCACAAAGGTGGAAAAATCTGAAGTCTGTTTAAAATTAAAAGCAGCATTATACACAACAATTAGATTTTTTTTTTAAACTGCTTTCTCAGCTCAGAAATAAGGCGTGGCATTGTTCTCCAATACGTGCACAAATACGGCACTTCCTGTAACTCTACGCCCCGGTTCTTGCTTTAAAACCAGTCCTGTGTGATCATATGTGAACAACCTCAGTGCAGATTGTTGGCTTTACCAACTGTTTGTTTTTGGGGGGTTTCTGACTCCGCAGGTCAAGCTGCGCCTCAGGCCGCACCAGCCGCTGCGGCACCGGCCGCCCAGCCCGGAGGCCAGCCGGACTACAGCGCCGCCTGGGCCGAGTACTACCGGCAGCAGGCTGCGTACTACGGCACGGCCAACCCTCAGGCCATGGGCGGAGCGCCACAAGCCCCTCAGGTACACCCCCCTCGTTAAGAATCTGCTCGTGTAGTCATTTTGTACCGTAACCCCCCTCCTTCCTCCGTCAGGGTTTTTACAGGGCTCCAGTGACGACGGCAGCCGTATAAACCTAACCGAACTTCTTTTCTTCCCCCTTTTTTTAGCTTTTTATTTTGGGAAGCTGAGTCCACTGTTTCTGCTGTTAACATGCAATGTATCTTCTATGTATTTCCTCTGCACAGGGCCAGTAATGTGAAGTGGACATAAAGTAAATGCTACATTGTCGAAACAAAATCCTTTGTTAAATGTTTGGATGCAGACGCCTTGATGAAGATCTTAAATTTCCTTGGTTTGAAAGTGTTTCACATAGATGGCAGATTACCCGGCGAACACGTCCTCTTTGATTTATTTCTTCTGTTATTTCTTTTGTTTTTGTTGTTTGTTTTTTTTTTTCTTGTAAATGCTATGTTTTTAGTGAGGTAATATACATATGGTCATTCCAGCCCTGTATCTACATCAAATGTGGTTAGAACTCATGTTTAATAATAAACTGTAGACATTACCATGTAAATCATCTCAGTTTTAAAAATGATATTGCCTGTTGTGTTTTTGCAATAAAACAAACTGAAACCTCCTGTGTTGGTAAGTTGGGGTGGTCCGATTCTAAAAAAAGAAAAAAAAGGGTTGAAATCGATGTTTTGTTTGACCTGTTTTTGGGGGAGGAGCTTGGGGAACGTAGCGTGGAAGTTGTGCTGTCCTGTCTCTCTCCAACYGTTTATAAGGCTCGTAGAAACCCGGTGCGCGCGGTGATCCGGAACGGTTCCTGTTTCTCCCTGACATTGCTGATTGTAGCAGTAGACACATGTTTTTGGTATCATGCATTAACTGCGTTGATGTGGCTCTCTTCTTTTTCTTTTTTTTATATTTGCCCTGGTCATTGTTGAGCTAGAATGCACTGTATTCTGATTTTGTTTTTGCCTTGATAGTCACTTCCTCCTCCACAGGCAAGTGTAGGAAAAAAAAAGGCGGTAAGCAGGTATTTTTGACGTACCTCAGAAAATGTGGTTTCAAGAAATGTTGCATATTTTTTTTTAGTGTTATATCTATATTTTGTGCTGTTCTTCTTTCAGGACAGTCAGGTAAATTGATAAAAATGTATTGAAACAATTGCTTTTATTCAAGCTGTATGTAGGTATAAAATGTTTTTTTAATATAAAAACATTGCAAAAAGTCATTTTTGCTGTGCCCATTCTGTTAGTGTTTATCCCGTATAAAAACGTAGATGTCGGGGGTGGCTAAGCAGCCTCTTCATCCATCAGTTGAACCCTCCTGTAATGTAAGTACAAGAAAACACGCCTTTTTTGATGCTTATAAACTGCAAAAATGTAGTATTTTGTCAAATTGCCAATTTCCCCCTGCTTTTTTTTTATTTTTAAATTCTTGGGTAAGTATAAATGTGAGGAGAGGCGCTGAGATGAATTCTTGTACCACATGTTTCTGAGACTTACTGATGTAGATTGTTGTTAGCTGCAGGTTTAAATGTTTATACTCTTACACTGCTGGTTGAACTGTTTCTTTTAGGGGTCTGGTTTCTGCGTTCTGGATATCTGCCGCTCATGTTTATATAAAAACGTATTKCATAACTCCCGGTTTAGCATGCCTAGGCTGTTTTTATTGCTCTTTACATGTCCCATATAAGCATGTGGAATGATAGTTGATTCATTTTGTTCTGATGGGTGGGGGGAAGTGACAGGGACATGATCAGAAACGATATTTGACTGCATTGTTCACTGATGGCAAACAGTACGATATATATATATATCTGATCTTTGCAGTGTCATCCCAGACCTTGCACCTTAGGTTCTGCTGCAATAACACAGGTAAGCGAAACCTAAGGAAACGAGTGTTTTTACTGTTCAGTGATATGACTTATCTACATGCTTACCTGTGTTAAACGTGCCTCAATGCATTTATGCTTTGTAGTAAAGAAATGTCCAGGATTTTCACTCATGAGCAGCCCTTCAGTATGATTTCTCTGATTCATGAAATGCATGACGAGCTGTACTTTCCTTTTAAAAAGTGACTCAAAAAGTTGCATAAATGTAAATGTCACGCTGTGCGTACTTTTTGACAAAGGTCCTGTGGTAAGTCTCGTGCTTTTAGGTTGACACTGATGAAATGAAATGCATGCTATGCAAAACCTGTTGCCAGAAGTTAGCAATGTGCTCAAATGTTAGGTGGAGAGAAAAAGAAACACAAAATGTGGTGAAATATTGATATATTTTCTGTTGCTGTGGTGTGATTCTGCCCTGGAACGYGGTGCAGATCTGCTTATTGAAACGCTGCTGCCTTCTCGCTCACAGTGTTGGAGGATGCTGCAGGCTTAGGTGGTAAAATCAGGCCGTGTCGTAGTTTGTGCCCCCCTCTCCCCCCCCCCCCC